CCCAGCGGTTACAGATAGCTCACGGTCTAAGTGGAAATCAGGTCCAGGGAAAATAAATGACCGTCGGCCCGTGTCTTTGCCATGAGAAAATTTTTATCATCTTATAGGATTAGCTTTTGTACTCCTTCCTAACAACTTATGATGTTCGGGTCCCCCTCTGTAATGCAGATGACCCAGTTTTGTCAGGTACATTATTCTGCGGATGGAGGTGGTGTAGCCCAAAATAAATAGTATCGCTTCTCACCCGAAAAGTTCGTAAAACTTCCTAATCGAAATCCTTCCATATATGGCTTCCCTTAAAGGTCGGTTGTTCGGTTGTATGAAACTCTTACTTGCACAATGGCTTGCCACTGTAGCCCATTGGATAGCTCTGAATAGCTTTCAAATGTCATTTGATTGCGAATGGAAGTCAAGTGCGTGGCGTATCCCAAAAAACAAAGGCCATCGACAAATGTCTCAACTTTTTGTGCTTTTATTTTTGTTTTATGGTCATTGTTTCCAGATTACTATGTACAACATAGCGGAGCCCCCATGCAACCTAAACCTGTTCACGGGCGTAAGAAGTGCGTTTTGTGCGTATCGATTTTTTCGAACATTTTCTTCGTCAATTCGTCAAACCACTATTTCAGCATGCGATTCTTCCTGATTCTGATGGCACTGTTCGTCGTTCATCTGGTGATCGTTTTTCTTCTCGGCATCTGTCTCGGAATGCTGATCGCTTCGGTACATCAGGGCAGAGGATTTTGTGGGTGTCGTCGACGAGCTGGGAAGAGAAAAGACCGTGTCGATTCGATCAGTTCGCACCGAAATGACCACGTGAATGATCCGTTCCACATGGATGTCGAGCCAAAGAAGAAACGCGTATTCACAGCCGTCGAAATGGAGCCACCGTTCAAAACGGTGGAAAAATGGACACAATCATGCGACGACGATCCTCCGCCCAAACAACAGCCGGTGCCACCACCGCTGCCACCACCACCCCCTCCAGCGGCGCCTCCTGCTCAGGTCAAAAAAGTGTCCAGCCCTTCGCAACCGCCTACGAAATCAGATTTTGACCTATGGGACACTCCCCTCGTTCCCACTCAACGTCTCAGCCCGAAACCATCGCCGAATCCAGCACCAGTACCGAATCCTCCACCCAAAACCGAGAACAGACGGCAAATTAGATCGGTTTTCGTCGATGAGGGTGTGATGCACGGGTATGGGGGCAAACCGATGGAGCAACGATCAAGACCGAAAGGGAACTTCTCCTATAATCTCGCCTGATTTCTGCGGCCATATCAAAGAAATACATTGGCAACTATTACTTAACTCAATTCAGAATTTGTCCGACAAATTTTAAAACAACTGCCAAAGTTGCTGAGTCACAATAAACTGGTTTTTAATACGTGTTTCGAAGTCTGAAACATGAATGGTCGCTCGCGGAGGTGTTGCTAACACAGTTGTAAGGCCGTGGTGTACGCCAGCTGGACTGCAAAAAGATGGTCAAACGGACTACTTGAACTCAGCTCTTCGAACCGCCTCTGCGCTCTCTCGCGGGTCCCTCTTCTCTCCAAGGCTTACTCAAGGGCTTCACAGCCGATTAAATCGAGTATTGCCGATAAGACTGGCAAAAGGATGAGAAGGGAAATTTGTGCAGTGATAAGCATGCCGAGATGATGGATACCGCGGCCATCGACTGAGCCGTTCGAAATTCAGAGACCCGAGACCCAGTTTTCAGAGTAGCGAAAGCGCATATAAGGGCAGCGTCGCTGGCCATTCCCCGGCGTTTAGAGATTTCAGTTTCAGTGCATATTACAATAGCTCAGTTTTTTCAAGGGCCATCTTATGAACGGTTGAAAGCAACCTCATTCATGGGTAATAATATCTTGGGCTATTCTTCCCCACGGCGAACGGTCGATCTGTGATCACACCGCCCGTTGAGAGACAATGTACATTTCAATTTAGCAAAGATTAATTTCAGTTTCGTTACAGTTAAATCGATTGAAACCAGAGTCTGGTGACGGACACGTGTAGTACGGCGGGCGCAAGGGAGTGTTTGCGGTGAGGTGACGCTTGGGCAGGTCCAAGGTGTTAGCAAGACGCCTTTGAAAAAAAATCGGGTTTCGTATTTTGCAGACATAGACCAGACGATCGACAGTAATGTCAGTCAAAAAGGAATGTTGCTGGCCGGAGTAAAAGGTCCGAAAAACTTTCCTGAAGCTCGAACAAGCACTCTGAGAGTACAACCGGATCGTCTCTGCGCTAATCATTATCGTGCATTGATGTCGTGTGGATTTCAAACTGCATAATCAGTGCGAGTTTGTTGTAACTGCTCTACGAAACAAACAAGAACAACTTTTTGAATTTTTTTTTGTTATTTTGATGAATGATGGGTTTTAAGCCAGTGATTTATGGATGAGATAAAATCACGGCTTCTCCTTGGACGACTCCTCAGAAAAGGATTCAAAGGCAAAGTTCGGCTCGAGACCCACCCAAGAAGGTGTTTAGAAGTGCTGGGTACGCAGGTGCAAAGGTAGCGCCACCTTTCTGCATCGAAACGCGTGACTAGGACCCTAGGCGCAGGGTCAACCGTCCGTTGGACAAAGTCCAACGAGGGGTGGGGGTCGTATTTGGGGTGGAAAAAGGGGGTCGTATTTCCGCGAGGTAGCGTTAATGTTACAGTAAGGGAAGTGATGATGCAGTTGGTTGGCGCGCTAAAATTTTGCCGTCTTAAAGTGGGCGGAGGTCTGCGACCCTGAAAGTGGGGGGGGGGGCGTGCGTATCGGAGGCCGCTCTAGAAGGGGGTGGGGTCCGTAAAAATTTTCGAAATTCGTCTAGACGTTTGACCCCTACCTAGGCGCCATGGACTTCTAACAGACTCCACCAAACTTAACATGGTCCGCCCACCGTTCGATATCTTGTCTGCGTCGCCACGTTGATGTGCTATGCTCTCTCTTCTCGGACTTCTCTACCGCTCTCCGCGCTCACATTATCTCTCATCTCCCTGCCTGTCCTTTTGAACTTCTCCAGCATGGAGCAAAATGCTCGTATTTCCTGTGTATTTCAGGATTTTCTTTCCTTTTTTCTCCACTGGCGGTCCACCTCCCATCCCTACTTTCACATTTGAGTGGAATCACCCCATCAATTTAAATCCTGATTCTTGCCTTGAAACGATGGCTCGTGAATCGCGGCTTCATCGAAAGAATAGAGCAGTTGGCTTTTTTCATTTTTGGATGCACCGCGCATGGGACCATCGTCGAAAGAGACTACTTGCTGAGAACGTCCCACATATGCAATTGAGTGGTTTTGGTGCGATGTTTGGTGACGACATTCAGTTTGGACCAATCGACTGGCACTGGGCCCAGTCGCCAGCGCAGCTCAGCTTGACTGGGTTGGTAGTTTGGGAAAGGTTCTCGTATTTCTATAGAAAAAGAGAGAAGATGCACGGTTTGCCCCGAAAGGAAACCACTAAGCAGTTGAAAAGGTCTTAGACAAGTTAAAAGCCATAAAAGACATGATTTTAGAGAGGAAAGCGTTGAAATCTCCGCAAAAATCATTCCTTATTTTAAGATACGCCATTCATCCTGATTCTTTTCGGAATCGTGGTGGCAACTTGAATGCGATTTGTCTTCAAACAATGACCTGCGGGGGCCGCTCGAAGTCAAGTTCAGTGTTTTTACCCTTCCACCCATCTGTTACCAATTAATTGACCTTAGAGTTATGGGAGGCTTGGTTGCCCGACGTGCGTGCGACCCATGATTGTGATCATCTGACTTGTTCGCGTAGCACTTGCCACTACACGCATCCGCCAAAGATGGAATGTTAAAGGCAGCGATTACGATAAAGTGGGATCGCATCGGGGAATCATGCACCACACGAATCAGTTACTTGGCTGCCAGGGAAGCGAGGTGTGGCGCTTTCACGACGAAAGGTGCGCTGGTTGCTGAGCAGGACTTCGAAAGCACTCCGCCCCAAAAGCGATCCGCCCACTAGTTTAGTTGGTGATTTGGACGAGCTGCGTTGCTAGCAACGGCACAACTGAAGCAACTCGATTGGACCGTGGTTTGGCATGCTATTACAACCAGTTGCAGGAACCGCTCAAGACTCCCTATTCTGGAACTGTCACCGTGTTATGACGATGGAATCACAGCCAAAAAGGGGTCGACTTTGCATGATTTTTTAAACGGTTTCTGCGCTTTTTTCACACCGACGTTACGCATTGGCGAGCATACCACGTCTCCTACAGACCTTCGTGAATCTACCGTAATCCTACCTTTAAGGAGACGTTCTTAAGAAAATCCTACCGGAAAACTCTTGTTTCCTTTCCTAACGTAAATATGCCAATTGTGATCACTAAAGGCAACCTACAAATTTCCACGCACAAAAGACCCAATTTCCAAGAGAAACAAACCTACCTTGAAAACCACCTTCATGGACGGTCGAGGGTAGGTAGGGCGGAAACAAAGGAAACGCATGGAAAGAACTGCGCTTTGGGGCGGTCCAGATAATGGGCGACGCGTTAAAAGAGTCTAGTGAAGCGTTTTTGTGGGGAGTTAGACGACAAATCGATCGATAGCATAAGGTGCAGCAGAAGTGTTGAAATATGTTACTGGGAATAAGTGAAGAGATCGAAAAGAGTCCTAGTGACGCCTCTCCAAGAACCAGCGTTCTCGTTTGTGACACATGTACGGCGGGAATTCGAACGCGTAGCACTCCTTTCAGTTCTTCAAATTGCTTTCCAATACAAGCTTAATTTTTTTCGTTCTGAACGATGGGTCTCAAGCCAGTGATTTATGGATGAGATGAATCGTGATTTTTCCGGGGAGGTTTTCTTCATAGCAATCGGTCCTGTCCAACATTGCCAGGATGCGCTACGCATTTATCTGAAGTCTAAAATTACAAATTGAATGTTCATTTAGCGTGCACAATGACTCAGTGTTTTATTGTCTCAGGCTGACCTTTCATTTCTTAATTCAGCCAGAGCATTTCGGAAAAAGCTCCCAGGTGTATGTCACGATCATCTCAAAGTTTTGGGTGTATGGCCGAGAGGGTTGAGGCACATGCTCGATGTTAGCACGTACGGCGCCAGTGCTGGAAAAAGTTGCCGTAACAAGATTTGCATAAATTCTGTTGCCGCTTCCTGTCCCGCGACGCTACGTTGACGACATCTGGGCAGAATTTTGAATCTTTAAGCGCTTCGACTTCTGTTGAACTTCTGGCCGTCGCTATGAAACCGCTCGGGCCAGCGGTCGCGCTGAACTCGCTACATAGCTGTTGTGATCTCTGGCCATTGCGGCCGTAGGCTGCACTAGGCTTGCTCTTGGATGAGCTTCCTAAGCAAATGGCCCCATCATGTGCTCATCTCACGAAATTATGGTGTTGAACGAGGGCCGTCTCTACCCGTCAGCCCCGTCGTCATCGTCGTCGTCTTCGTGTGTCACATCCCACTTGCTCATCGATTATTGGGAGAGGAGAAGAAATGCGGAGCGTCCGTATATGGGGTGGGCTGGAAGACACGTCCGAGGACGAAGAGGTGGCCATCGCCGAAAGCTGGCTGGTTGCTCTCCTCTATCCACTCGCCTCATCTACCTTCACGAGAACCACTTTTCGATTGTCCCGCCCCGGTGTGCGCGGTTGTTTTCGACGGCCTCCGGCGGATGTTACCCACTCTGCTGCCGGAACTCGCCAAAGAGATTCTCCGGAAATGTCCTATTGACAACTGCAATGCCTACATTGGCCGAAACGTACTGCTTTCGGGATTCATACCTTTCCAAATTACTATTGCTGAACTTTCTTTGCAATATTTTGCTTTTCCTTTTTCCTGAACTTTCTTTTCTCACTAGCCTCAGAATTTCTTTTAAGGAGTTCTTGTTGGCTAGACAGAATTCTCAAGCAATTCTCCCGAGCATATTTTTTGAGATTTGCTTTATTTGTTGCTGCACGGCGCTTATGGCGCAGAGGCAGGCGGCGGCGTTGATTCATAAAGGGGTTCTAAAGTACAATCCTGTTCTGCCTTAAGCCGTCTAATACTTTTGGGAAGTTTATCTGATAGAAAGTCCACGGCTCTTGGTTGACTTTATGTTATTTTCGGTGTAATTATGTATAATTTCCGTCTTCCACGAGATTGATAGCTCGGAATTTTATTCGGTCAATGTTTCAATCCTTCACATCGGTTTGAAAGACCTCAGGTTTCACCGCTGGAGCAGCATAATAAATTCGAAGGAAGACATTAGTCATAAATAATTATACTATTATTATGTTTGCTAGTAAATGAGTGTGGCACT